AAAGAAATAAAAGACCCCCCCCCCCCCCCCAAACTAAACAAAAACCCCCAATAACAACCCCCCCAAGCAAAAACGAAAAATAAACAAACAAGAAAAAACCCCAAACCAACTAATGGCATGGTCTCTGTTGGAAGTTTGGGAACATGGAATACTGATTTTATTGATTTCTGCTGCCCTTTTCTTGTGCTGTGCGTATTAGGACCCCTTAAAATTTACTCTTGTATACTTTTCCTGTTTCCAAGTGGAAAAAAACCTAGGCGTTAGCTGTTACCCTGTTTCCAAGGCACCCCAAATTCCTAAGAACAGTAGCAAATATTATTGCATGAAACTTGTTGCAATTTTATTTCGCAGTGTGAATGGCAACTTGCTTAATAAAGAAAAGCAGATATGAGTAGAACAATTGGTATGGTTTTTTTTTCGTGGGGCCTTGGGGTTTTTTTTGTTGTTTGTTTGTGGGTTTTTTTGGTTGCGTTTTTTGTTTGTTTGTTTTGTTTTGTTTTTTTTTTTTTGGTTTGCCCCTATAGTTTGCATGGCTTGTTGATGTAGTAATGCTGGCATGAAATTAATGTAGTGTTCTAGAGTGGTTTTTCTTGAGAAGAACTTAATTGTATTTTTTATTTTGTTCTCACACCTCCAGATACTTAACTGGAGGAAAAAAGAAAACAAACTTTTATTAGTTATTTTAATGCTCTAGTAATTTTTAACTTTTTTTTTTTAATACCGACCCTACCTTAAAATGAACGTAATTTGAGTCATTTGAGTCTGGTTCTAACTTGCGCTGAATTGTATCTTAATGGATTCCCATTTGATTTCAGCCTATGTTTTTCTTTGATTAAGCTATCCTTGTCAGTCAACGTAAATGTGTGCAAGCCATGTAGAACAATGCAACTAAAACCCCATTATGTTCATGTAACATTGTAGATTTTATTGATACCACTTACATGTTTTCAAGTTCTATGGGGGGTTATAGATAGCATAAGAAAGAGTGTGTGGTGGGTTGACCCTGCCTGGATGCCAAGTGCCCACCAAAGCCTCTCTATCACTCCCCTCCTCAGCTGGACAGGGGAGAGAAAATATAACGAAAGGCTCGTGGGTTGAGATAAGGACAGGGAGAGATCATTCATCAGTTACCGTCATGGGCAAAACAGACTCGACTCGGGGAAATTAGTTTAATTTATTACCAATCAGATCAGAGTAGGATAATGAGAAATAAAACGAAATCTTAAAAACATCTTCCCTCCACCCCTCCCTTCTTCCTGGGCACAACTTCACTCCCGGATTCTCTACCTACCCCCTGCAGCAGCTCAGGGAGACGGGGAATGGGGTTTATGGTCAGTTCATCACACGCTGTCTCTGCTGCTTCATCCTCCTCAGGGGCAGGGCTCATCACACTCTTCCCCTGCTCCACCGTGGGGTCCCTCCCACGGGAGACAGTCCTCCACAAACTTCTCCAACGTGGGTCCTTCCCACGGGCTGCAGTTCTTCACAAACTGCTCCAGCGTGGGTCCCTTCCACAGTGTGCAGTCCTTCAGGAACACACTGCTCCAGCATGGGTCCCCCATGGGGTCACAAGTCCTGCCAGAAAACCTGCTCCAGCCTGGGCTCCTCTCTCCACAGGTCCTGCCAGGAGCCTGCTCCTGCATGGGCTTCCCACGGGGTCACAGCCTCCTTTGGGCACTCACCTGCTCCGGCGTGGGGTCCTCCAGGGGTTCAGGTGGATATCTGCTCCACTGTGGACCTCCATGGGCTGCAGGGGGAGAGCCTGCCTCACCATGGTCTTCCCCACTGGCTGCAGGGGAATCTCTGCTCTGGCACCTGGGGCACCTCCTCCCCCTCCTTCTGCACTGACCTTGGGGTCTGCAGGGTTCTTTCTCTTACGTGTTCTCGCTCCTCTCTCCAGCTGCAGTTGCTCTTGCGCAGTTCCCCCCCCTGCCGTGTCCTTCTTAAATCTGTTATCACAGAGGTTCTACCACTATCACTGATGGGCTCAGCCTTGGCCGGCGTCGGGTCTGTCTTGGAGCCGTCTGGCCTTGGCTCTGTTGGACACAGGGGGAGCTTCCAGCAGCTTCTTAGAGAAGCCACCCCTGCAGCCCCCCTGCTACCAAAACCTTGCCAGACAAACCCAGTACAGCGTGGAAGTTAGAATTAAACATAATACTCTTGAAAAGTAACCAATCGCACTTTTGGTTCTTCTTCTCCCTGTCCGGCTTGCATTTACAGTCTGTTTTTTGGAAGAAATTGTTAATCAATTAATTGTTGCCTGCTTGCTAATAACAGTGAATTCTGAAGTCCATTCTCCTTTTTTTTGTGTTATTTGAAGGCTGGTAATCAAGAGAGCAGTCACAAGTACTTTGCTTCCCTAGGCCCTTTATCTCCTGCAAGACTGTAACCTTAGAAAGGTTGCTAATAGAATAGGTCTTTTTTATAATGGACGAGGGCTAATGACTTTCTTTGACTCCTTGGCTTATGTTAGGTTTCAGCACTGCCTGCTGTGAGGCGTTTGAGCCTGTGTGAGACACCTGGCCAGTGGAAGAACTTTAGGGTGACCTGGATTTGGGACCTTCAGTTTTTCCAGAGGTGTTTGGGGGGGATTCTTCTCCCATGTAGCTCTTCTTGTTGGAGTTCTGCAGGACCACGTTTCTTGCATCTTCAGTGATGCAGATGAATATAGCCTGTGGGAATGTGGGATGAACAGTTATGTTGATATGAAGTGTGGTGTCATAACTATACCACTTTTCCCCTCCACCCTTAATTTCATTTGGACACAGCTGTTGTAGAGCTTACCAAAGCCTCATGAATATGCGATGGTGTGTGCTGCCTGCTATTGTCAACTGAACTTTGCCAAGATCTTGGTTGTTCTTTGCGGAATACAGTTTGCTAACTTATTGAGTCCTGTCACTACCACAGCTGTAAGTGGAATTATGTTGAGTGAACCGTTGTGCTTTACCATATCAGGTCAGGAAGCATGTAGCATCTTTATTGTACTGCAATCCGTATTTATTCTTTTCCGTGATTAAGCAGTGCAGAGAGTTGATGTGAAGTGCCTTGGGGTCCTTGCATCTCTACCAGTACTTTTTAAAACAATGTAGCTATACTATGACATTGTAATATTTCATAGGTCTTTTGAACTTGAAACTAGTAACTGTTGTGTACCTGGTTTTAATTAAAACAGATTCGTGGTACTTTGTCCTTATGTTTATCAAGTATTCTTTAACTTGATGTATTTTTGTGTCTTAATGATAAGTTCCATCTTAGGTTGGCTTTTTACTAGTATGGCCAGATTTTTAGCAAATAAACATAAATTTTTTAGTCTTAAAATTTTTCTAGTTGAAATCAGCAGAATTTTTCTTTTGCATGTTGTATTACTGCTTGGAAGGTCATTTGCTGGATTCTGGTGCTGACAAAGCAGTTGTGCCTTTTTTTTTTTTTTTTTTTTTTTTTAGAAAAGTAGATTAAAGGAAGTGAAGTGCCCTCTAGTCTGAGAGCATACGTTCAGAGTAAAAATGCATTACTTCATTTCTGCAACTTTCTGCTATTGTTACCTTCCTCTATACATGAACATCAGATAAACTAAGCTTTCTATGTAGTCTTCTAATACAGTTGGTAAACTAAGAAATCACTAAGAAGTTGACATTCCTTTTATTAAGTCTTTTATCTGCTGAAAATTAAGAAAACAGAGCAAAAATAGTAAGTAGTACATTCTGCTTGCTTTATTGGTCAAACACATACTATTATTTTGTGTGAAGATTTTCCTACCGATGCATGTTGTGTGTTCATAGTACAGCAAAAAATCCTCATTGTGTTCCAGTAAAATTGATTTTGCTCTGGGAAGTGTCAGCATGGGGATAATCATTGAATCTGAAAACTTGTTTGCAGAATTATAGTCTTGCTGTGTATTCGTATACATATTCATGTATATTCACATAGAGTTATAAATGACACTGTTTTTAGAAATATAAATTAATCAAGCTTGATCTGTTTGACAGTTCTTTCATCCTTCTTGGGAGTGTAAGTTAACAATGGTGAATGTCAGCCTCCAGTGAAAGTAGTGATCTATTGTAGAATTAAGTCTTGAATGCTGTTGTGTTTGCATTCTCCACTTAAGCTTGGACTTTTTTGGTGAACTTTATTTTCTTAATACCAGGTGATGATTAAATTACTTCTACAACATGTTCAAATCTCAAACACACAATGGTTACACAGTTCGTATAAGGGGTTCGTTTGTTAATCTGAGCTCTGTTTTACAAAAATTGTATGAATGCTGCTTTCCTTTGAAATTGATCTTTAAAAAGAAATCCTGTTTTGTATAATAAGATGCCAGACTCACAAAGATTTCCTTTCTTGTTTCATAGACGTTCCATCTTCAGAGCAGCCTGAACTGTTCCTAAAGAAACTTCAACAGTGCTGTGTCATTTTTGACTTCATGGACACGCTTTCAGACCTTAAAATGAAAGAATACAAGCGCTCCACTCTTAATGAACTGGTGGACTACATTACAATAAGCAGAGGCTGTTTGACAGAGCAGACTTACCCTGAAGTAGTTAGAATGGTGAGTTCCTTCTTTCTCATGGTCTCTTTAAATCCACTTGCAATTCCAGTTACGCATTGTGGGCGAAATTGAACCCTGGAGTAGGTGGATTAAATGAGGCCTTTGGTTTGTATTTTCTACTAGACATCACTTGGGGATAATTCTCCAAAGACAAAAATATTAATTTTTATATATGCTTAATTAAAGTCAAGTAGGTGATGGTTATTATAGTGTCACAAATGTATGAAAGGAAACCTGGATTGTTTCCTGATGGAGAAAGCCAGCAGCCATAAAATCGGAGTCCCTCACATTTCCCCCCACCTACCCTCCCTCTCCCCCAGTATAAATAATGGAATAATTTTTGCAAGTTTCTTTGAACTTTATCCAAGCTCTTGAGTGTGTACTTCAGGTGGAGATAGCTTAAAGTATGCACAGATAATGATTTTTAAATAATAAATGCTAAAAATGTTGTATAGGATCAGTGTCAAAATTTCCTGGTTGTATTATGTGGATTCATAGCAGCTGCCATTGGAGTGAGCAAGATTACTCAACAATAAAGCCATACCTTGTATATATAAATTGTCAAATAGTGCTTTCAATGTAAAAATGGAATCAGTACCAGATGCTAGCTATATCGTGAAGAACATTTATTGCGATTGGCAAAATCAATCATTGCTTTAAAATGTTTATTCTGTACTACCATACGGAACCCTTATAACCCGTTATCTAAATGAGAAGGCGGTTAGTTAAATATAGATTTGGTGGTGCTTGTTGCCTAATGGTACTGTGTGATCATGGAATCCACTGGCAATGTGCTGTAGGAAGCAAAACATGAATAGATTTTACATTGCATTATATATGCTCCTTATTTCTTTTCTGACACACAGATACATGCTGGGTTGTTTGTCTGTAATATTTAAAAATAGCTGTAAATTGTGACAGAATCATCAAGCAGTTAATAGTGAAGAAAAAAGCCCCCAGAATTAAGGGTGTATGGAAGAACCTTAACATGGCTTCTTTGTGTGTATGCATTGTCAGAAAGCCTATAATTAATCGTGCAATCAGATTCTTCCCCTTCTCACTCACCTTCCCTTCCTCCCTTCTGTACTAGACTGATCTTCTGAATGAACTGCTTTTCAGTATGTTGTTCAGCATGTGGTCTAATGCATCATTCAAATATGTGTCTGAATGGAGAATTACTTGTTCGTTGCTGAATTCTGCTGCTGGTGCTGCACTGTAGCATCTAAAAGGCTTGCAAATGTTAGTTTAATCATACTTGTACCCCTTGTGATGAACAAATTTTATCATACCCTTTGTGTAGACAGGACACTGATGCACAGGTAACTTCAATAAAATTGGGTACTTTTTCTGTGTGTAGAAGATGCCTCTGTACTCATCTCCTGGGAGAATTTGGTTTTTTTGTTTGTTTGGTTGGTGGTTTTGGTTTTTTTTAGTGTTTCTATTATTGAGGTTGTATCCTTGCATTGACTTTGGTTATAGTTGTTTAGTGCAGCTACATTTGTAGAATAAAGACTCTGCAAGTTAGTGTTGTCTTAGGTTGGGCCCCAAGAAACAAGAAGAATTTGGTCTGTAACTGCTCGTAAAGTTCAATTTGAATCATAAATCATAACCTGTGAAGCAGTCTGAACTTGAACTGTAGAAGAGATGCAAAACCCCTTTGCTAGAATGTCCTACTGTCCCTGCAGTCACTTATGTTGATTCACAAAACAGTTTTTATCTTAAGAAAATAACTCATTGCCTAAATAGTTTGAAAAGCATGGTTTTAAATAATTTTCTTAAATGTAGTTTGTAACTACAATATGGAGGAGTCACTGGAAGTAAAGATACAGCGTGAATTTTTCCACTGGATTTCACAGATACTCGCTAATGGACCTTCAGGAATTCTGGTTTCAGTTTAGCTCATTTCTGATGGAAAACTGTTCTATCTTCTTTTCTCCAGTATTCCCCATATCCTTTCATTGCTTCATGCCTTTCTTCAACTTACTTTCTTCTGCCTTGCATTTGGGCTTCAGTGCTGAACTCAAGCTACGTTTTCTCTTCAGTGCCAGGGTACTTAAGCAGGGGAGGACTGAGAATATTCTCAAGCCCTGTATCTGGCTACTCAGTGGTCCCTGACTGCCCCAAAAGATCCCTAAGTAGTTAGGGAAGTGGACATGCTTTTTCCCAAAGAATTTCCTGAAATAGTTGTAATACTCTAGCCTGCAACAGACACCTGTGCTTTGCTGAAGGTATAAGCTATTGGAAAGCTGGAGTCCCCAATTGTGCCTGTTGCAACCAGCAGCATTTTTGGTGCATATGCTCTGGGAAAAACACTTTGGTAGTTGTATTCCATGTGAGCAGGATGCTGTGCTCTGGTATTGAATTTATGTGAGTGAATCCATGGCAAGTGCATGAATGATTTATGTCGATCATCCTAACAACTGCAAATGCAGTGTTTCTGTTAAACCACATCATAAGGACTTTTGTGGGTTGTAGGTATTTTGTATTTTACAGGTAAGCTATCTGGTAAAAATGCTATCTTGCCTCCTGGTCTTTGCCTATAAAAGCAAGACATCTCCATCACTTTGAGTACAGTTATACAGGCCCTAGAGGGAAAGGTAGGACTTCTGATATTATATAAAATAAGTTTTCACCACATACTGCCTGGTGAAGAGACAGCATTAGTCATTTTGTGCTGAAGCATTATGTTTGGTGTAACTTGTTCTTTGCAATAAGTGCATGTTCTTGTTTCAAGCAGAATTGTGCTCGTAATTGTATACTGAGGCAGACTTAACTGTATACAGTTGGCTTCATGAAGGCATCTGCCACCTTTATCTACTTTTGAGGATTTTCGTCTAGGTCTCCAACTGTGTTCACAAAGGACCTGTCAAGTTGACAATCTCTGACCTGTCATGATAGTGAAGAAAACCGCAGTATCTATGTCCTGACCAAATTAGTGTCCCCATTGCCTGCCACAATTGTCACGGGAGTGTTTTGATTGAAAGACCAGTATCTTAAAACTGGTCAAAATAGAGCACAAGTGTTTGGACCTTTGGAAGGTCTCCTCCCTCTTATGTTTAGTATTTATGAATCCAGGAATTAATATTTCCTGCTTGGACCTTTGGGCTGCTGTGATTTGGAGGTGAAATGAAGTATTGTAAACAGATGAAAAAGAAAGAAGCTATTCTGTGAGTTTTGACATCATTTAAGGGCAGAAAAAAAGGTGCACTGGTCTGAAGCTGGTATTTAAAAAGTTACTAATATTTATAAAGAAGAATTAATGGCTAAAGTGCTTTCTTACCTTAATTATCTAAAATATCCAAAAAAGTGGTATCTGTGGAAGAGCCTAGTTTTGTTTTAAAGTTTTGTAATGTACGTGGATATTAGTGTTCTCTTCATGACCCAAAAGGAGTTTGGCTTTACAGATAATAGGATAGAAAAAGGTTGCCTCTAAAATTCTTCAGAAACTCTGATATTTTTAATTACTTCTAAAATGTGGTGGTGTTATGATGTAAGGGATTGAAAAACAGTCATTTGTGGTAGCTAGCATAACAGCTCTTGGGTATTTTTACTGCCAGTCATCCTAAATTCATGCCATTAAAACCTTAATCCTTAATCGTAATATCACATATTTTCATCTTGTTCTCTTGAGCAGATGATATGATGTTGTATATAGCTAAATGTGAAATCACTTGGCTATTTGTCAACCTGTGTGCATGTCCGCTTCTTTAAACCACTCTTTTTAGCTTGATATATACAGAAGTGTTTGGCCTGTTACTGGTTTTTTTAAAAAGTAAAATAAAATTGAATTTACTAATGGCCACCAAAGCAAGCTTGCAGTGGCCTCTTCACTCATCAATATCAGTTGATGGGAAAAGAGGTTGGGATTTGTGTTAATGGCCATAAGCTGGACAGATTTATTCAGGAGGGTATTGCTCAGTGCGCTTCCCCTGCAATTTGATGTGTTGTTCAGAAGGGCATATGACATTCTTTAGAATTAAGCTAGTCTTAGGAAAAAAGGCCTTTGCCAATTAAACCACACTCTGCTAAGAAGGAAATGCCAGTAATATGACTTTATGAGCCAATAATTGGACACTTAATCTAGAATTTTTTTCTGTCTGAGCAAAATGTGGAGGCTTAAACTAATGATGCTGATTTTGCTGGTAGATTAAGCGATGGTAGTTGAATGAAATAAATGTTTGTTATTATCTGTGGTATACTAAAGGGTGTATGTAGTAGAGCTTTTTGTGTTTTCTGTGTATTAAGACATAGATTGAGGAAACTGATTTCTTTCCTTTAAAAAATCGGATGGGAAAAATTGACAAGCTTTTAAACCGAGAAATCTCGATGAATCTCTTTGTTGGTGAGCAACATTTCGGCTTTCCTACTTGCTTCTTCCAAAATTGTAAACGCAACCCCTGATGTTTACCATGATGTTTATGCAACATCCGTGGATGGTTGCCAGCCCATAAGAGATGGTTAATGAAACTTTTCTGAGATAGACCTTTTAGAATGGTATAGTATTATTTTGTTCTCCTCTCTTTTAAGTGCAGAAATGCCACTGGCTTCCTGTTGGCATCTTTATCTTTTGTGTAATGACGAATCAAGTAAAATAAGACTGTAATCTCTGTAGCCAAAGTGTAACATCATATTAGATGTCTTGTGGCTCAGAAGCTGTGTTGAGCAACACAGTGAAAGAAACTTGGTTAAATGAACACCCAAATAAATACCAAAAATTGCATTTTAAAGGTCAGATTCTGATTTTTTTTTCTTCTTTTTTTCTTCTTCTTTCTACTGACATAAATCTAAAGGGACTGCATTCCTTTTACTGCAGGTTTGTCTCAACAGATGTGAGGGCAGAGTCTGATCAGGAGTTTGTTTGTGACAGACCTGTTAAACATAAAGAATATCTTGTTAAGCTATGATTTTTTTTAGCATGTTAAGAAACCTATTTTTAGGAAGTGTTCTAGCTGTTAGAACTTCATAGGCATTATGAATTTCTTTATTTTCTATAGCTTTAG